GAAACCTTCAAAGAGATTTACTCTCAGTTCTTTCCACAGGGAGGTGAGTACATAGCAGATGTAAATAGTACTACAGGGTACAGAGTTATCTTTGTTAGTTCCCAAGTCTGACAAAGGAGACCGCTATTTGAATTAACGAGATCGTTTTCTCAAGCTCTGTCTGAACTCATGGGGTAGTTCCTTGATGGCTGGACACATTTTAAAGTATGTATTTCTGAATGAAATGCAGTGATATTTACAAGAAGTCAGTCTTCTATTATGAAGTCACTACCTGTGTTTGGTTATCTTTGAAAACTAGGTTTGCTGAGTCAGTTATTACTTTTTAAAGTTTCTACAGAGTCTTCCCCATTCTCTTTTATCTCACAGAAAATTTCACAATAGGAATTAAAACTGTAGGAGGCACTGAAGGTATCCCCTAATACTGATGGCAGAACCTCCTTGAAATCTGTGGGGTTTCTCTACTTAAATAAGGGCTTTTTTTTGCTAACCTTAATTTCAATTAATTAATTTCACACGGTTTCATTATTCTTTTATTTTCATTATCAGTGAAGTAACACAAGTTACTTTAGTGAAGTGTAGAGTGCAGTGAAGATAACACAGAAATGTATAACAGCTTTCTGCCTTGAACCATGGATTTTCTTTTACTTTGAATTGTATTCCTCTCCTTTTTTCCTCTTGCTTTTACCATTGAATCCCCCCTCTTCATATTCTTCTACAGCTCTTCAATCCTGCCTCTTCATCCTCTCCCACAGCTCTTGAGATTTGCACGTTTCCCTGGAACTGTTCATAGCTCTTTTTTTTCACTTCTATTTAAAAAAAACCCACACTTAATTGGTAGGAACAAAACGTCTCCCAATTAGTTTTATTTTGAATAAAGACCTAGAAGGTAAAGAGAAGCATTCAGTGTGGATTATCATCACTGAAATCCTGTAACAAGTACACACACTCAATAGGGAAGAACAAAGGGCTAAAACAGTTGACCTGCCTGCTGATTATTTCTGTACCTAAGCTTTTAAACCAGGCTAACAATTACAGTTTCAGATATTACATTTTTTTGTTATCCTGGCTAGTGAAAATAATTCTCTGCATGTAATTTGCTACACCTTTACTACACTTAAAATAATTATTAAAAAAAAATATTTCCTATTGTTACACTCAAAATTGTTTATGGACAAAGAGAAAGCACACCTTTTATACAAGTAAAGCTAAAAGGCATTATTAGAATAAAAGTAATCTTAGAAGCCTGATCTTTGTTAGTACAGACCTAATTGTTACAGAAAGAAAATAATATTAATGTAGCTAAAATTGATATATACTCCATGCCCTTACGGCAGCATCATCATCTGGGGGAGGAGGTGAGGACTGCAGTGGACTGTCAGCATCTGGAGTCCTTCCCCAGGAGGACCAGGATGTTCATGTTGGTGCTTTCTTCTTCTTTGCTCTAGGATTCACTTGGGATCACTTTTACATGTTTGCTAATGCATTTTTACACCTTTCAATTTCTCCATTGGTTTGCAGCTCTACATTACATCCAAACTTATTATAGGTGATACCTTTTACACGTGTTAGATACTATCTCTTTGTTCTCTTTCTAAACCCATTTTTGTCCAGCCCCATGTCTGCATTTCTTTAACTGACCACAGGTGAATTGTTTATACCTGTGGTGTCTCCAATGCCAGCCTGTGCCCCATCCCCTCTCATCCCACCCCTGCTCTCCTCTGTGCCGTATCCCATCTCTCTGATGCTCAAGGCTACTGGTAACATACAAGGCAAAAAGATCTTCTCTCCACTGCATCATTATGTTGGAGTTGTAAATATCTATTTTTACATAGAATAACTGCTTGTTTCTGCTACCTGTGTAAAGCTATAGCTGCAGCACAAAAGTAAAACTAATCAGCCTTAGAAACCTGATCAGTTTGAGAGACTGCTGTCACAGCTAAACCACAGGAAAAAAGCTGCAAGCTTCCGTCCTGGGGCAAGCTCCAAATAACACTTGTGGTTTCTTGGCAGCAATGGTGCTACTGCGTTACAGGGGCACGTGGTTACACTATTCACTGCAATTTCAACAATATACTCTATCTGCAACTGGGGAGCTATACTTTTCGGTGGGGGGGGGGGGGAACCAAACCAAACCAAACCAAACAGCTTTTTTTTTCTTGATTATTTGAACTTTAATGAAATGCAATAAAGAGATATTTAACAGGGTGGAAAGGTATTGAATCCAGATAATTCACTTAACAGTAACAGATGTTGTTGTGTACTAGTAACAGCATTTTAAGCTTTTTCAATAAAGCTATTTCAGAGATCTCAGCGAAGAGCACTGAGAAGTGACCATCAGAAGTTATCCTCTTCGTCTCCCCATCCTCCATGGCCTCCACGCAATGGCATGCATCCTCAGCAGTATATAAAGAGAGCACAAAAAAATGTGAAAGCCTTATGTAGTTTTCCTCAAGATGTCAGCAAAAATATTCCGTGGAAACAGCAAAAGAGCTGAATCTCCTTGGAAGAGTAACAGCTCATGTCTGTAAACCTTTAATTTCTATGGGCACACTGAGGCTTGAACTGTTCTGCGTGGGTTTTATGAGCTGTTTTGTAGGCGCCTGTGTTGGCTTTTGCCATTTTCTGAGAGGTATGGGAGCCAAAGTCTATTCTTTGTTCCTCATATTAGCCAAGGTATCTTCAAAGCACAATTGTTTGTATTTGCATATCCCTGCATGCTAACAACAGGCTGACATCATCGTATTTGTCTAGTTAAGCAGCTAGACCAGATACTTAAATCTTTGAATGTATTGTGTGCAGCCGAGGCCTTTAAATTTCAGGTGCACTTAAATCATTGTTTTTATGTACATCTGAATATTAAAGTGGAAAAAAAGTTCGGAAGTTGTCTCCAAATTAAAATGTGTCACACGTAGATTTGTACCGCAGTTTTCTGTGCAAAACCAGATACAGCATGATGTGTCATTATAACAATTCATATCTCTGCAAACAGAATGATCTTGTGTAATATTTTAAGCTTCAGGGTGACCAACCAATCGCCAAGAAGTAATTTTCCAATGGCATCCAGCAAGTCACTTCACCAAGCAACTTTGAAGGCAATCTAGGATAAGGGACAGGAGGACTACAAAGAGGATAAAGGAGACACAGTAAAAGTAACAAAGAAAATGACACAGAACTGCAGTAAAATGGATGTATTTTAAAAGGCAGAAGTAGCTCTGTAAAAAGTTTTCCATTCCAGAAAGGCACCCCAGTAACTTTTTAGAAACACAGATGAATTAATAGTTCCCCTGTGTTTATGCAGTAGGACGCCTGAAATATGACCTGGGATTCGTTCTTCAGCCGGGCAGGTCATAGATAAGAATCCAGCACTGAATAATTACTATACTCGTCCTTACTGATGAACAGAACAGATTACGTTCATGGTTTGACAAGGCATACTCTTGGATGTATAATGACTACCATTTTTTGCCTCTGATGTTTAAAATGCTTTAATGGTCTATTTCAAAGGAATTCTGATTTAATATCTGTTCCTGTCTCAACCTGTCAAGATACCAATTTAGCCTACTAGTTACAATATCAGATCCCTTAGAAGAAAACATATTTTATTTACAAACTTAAGCTTTTGTCTAACGTGATTAATGTTCAAGATTTAAGGGGGCAGGTGGAATCACAGTAAGTAGCTCTAACTAAAAGGCTAGTGTACCTCATTCTGCACTGGTTTTGAAGGCAAAAATTCAGACCAGAATTGCCTGAACAAACAACCCCAAAAAAGACCTCTGGTTTTGGTTTGGGTTTTTTTTTTCAGAAGGGGTTAATAAAAAGAAAAGATTCATCAACTAGAGATTTTTTTCATATACTGTCATACAAAAATAGTAGTACATTGTATCATATATAGACAACAATCAATAAAAAACCTTTGTGTTAACCTTTTATCTTTTCTGTAAATCTACAGGAAATTATTAAGAATATTTCACATGTTTTAAAGAAATGAATGCCAAGAGAACGGGAAATTATTTAAAATTCAGTTTACAGTAACCATACCTTTATAATATTTTTGTTCCCTGAAGATGGTTTGCATAGTATAGTCTGTTTCACAACAGAAGTCTCAGCAGATTATGGAAAATATGAATTTTAAAATCCTAAATGTAAACTTAAGTCAGGAAATTTACATTTTTCAAAGTGGGAATTTGTCTGCTAGGCCATGCTTAAACAATTACACTGATGACTGAATATATGGATGAATGAATGAATATCTCAGTACTGTTGGGGTTTTCCTTTTTAGTCTCTGAAAATGCATTAACAGACATAGGGCTTAAAGGTTGCAGATTTTTTTCTTGTTACAATTATTTCACGTCATATGAAACTGACATATTGAAGTAAGGCCAGACACTTTACTTAATATTATGTCTCAATCTCTGAAGCACAGTTTCGAGTTTTGGCATATTTGGTTCTTTGGGGTCAGGGTGGCATTTCAGGTGTGCGATGCATGACTATCACTCAGTTAAATTCAGAACAATATTTTGGGCTTAGACAACTAAAGGTTTTCAGGATTAGTACGAAAGGTAAAATGGTTTAGTGCCAAGAAATGAGAAAAAGGCATCTCAGCAGTGATCAGGTTTTTCCATGATCGGGAGGGGTTTGTCCTGCAAGGAGGACACAGATTTCATCATTTCTCACTTTTCTAAAAGTTTGTGAGGTTAATGTTAATTAACCTAAAATTAATTTAAACACATGAAATAGAAAGAGCAAAGAAATGAGTATTAAAGGTAAACAATACCTCAGCCTACATTAATTTGCATGGTTTTGAGGGAAGGAAAAGACACTGAGGAAAACTGACTTCCCACAGCCCCAGCAGCTTGTACCTCACATCAACAGGGCAGTCTCTGCAGAAGCTTTCTTTTCGCAATATATTACTGCTGGAGCAGGTTGTGCCTCTCAGAAGACATTCAGTGGAAATGGAAAGATGGATCTTTATGAAAACTTAAAGGCTTGACAGATATATATTCATGCTGTGTTATGCTTCTAAAATTAGTCGATATGCAAGTCATTAGGTTAGAAAAGTATACCAATAATTAGTGAAGGGATCACTTGTTTAAGGTCATCTTTCAGAGCCTTATTGACCACTTCAGTTAGTTGCAGTCAGTTCTTCCAAGGTTTTTAAGCACCTAGCTCTCACATGATGTTCATGGGAACTAGGCAGCAAACCAGCTGTAAGAATCTGTTTCTCTGTGGGTTAAGCCTAAGACGCGAGTGCAGCAGCAGCTTGTCTGACAAGAGCATCTTCAGCTTGGGAAACAGACCTGTCTTCTGAGTAAAAGTGATATGCCAGATGCACAGATGGAAGTGTCTGTCTGCCTCATTTAAAGTGAAGAAATTAATGCATTTTTCTTCCTTAACATATGAAATAGATCCCTTGTCACGGTCATTTAACTGATAAAGTAGTGTTCCTATTAACACAGGTTGTTTCAGAGTACAATAACATGCCTTCTTTGCTATTCATTCAAATATCAGTGATTAGTAGAATTGGGAATGAAAATGAATTCTAGACTAGAATTTTAGATTTTCTGTTCCTAACAGCGTAGCTACACACATACTGGCACTTAAAATTTATCCCTCCTTCCCTGCCAAAAAAAGAAGTTCAGACTGAATTCATAGAATCATAGAACGGTTTGGGTTGGAAGGGACCTTAAAGACCATCTAGTTCCAACCCCCCTGCCATGGGCATGGATACATTGCACTAGACCAGGTTCCTCAAAGCCGCATCCAGCCTGGCCTTGAACCCTTCCAGGGATGGGGCATCCACAGCTTCGCTGGGCAACCTGTTTCAGTGCGTCACCACCCTCTCCGTGAAGAACTTCTTCCTGATATCTAATGTAAACCTCCCCACTTTCAATTTAAACCTGTTACTCCTTGTCCTGGCACTACAGACCCTTGTAAAAAGTCCCCCCCAACTTCCTTGTAGCCCCTTCAGGTACTGGAAGGTGCAATAAGGTCTCCCTGGAGCCTTCTCTTCTCCAGGCTGAACAAGCCCAATTGAAAATTTAGTTTTGATATCTTATTTTTGTATCATGAATTAAATTAAATAAGATGCGCTTATTATGAATTTCTTTTACTGTTTTAAATTGTAGACTCCACAACTTATGCGCACTTTCTGTTTAATGCATTTGACACTGATCACAACGGATCTGTAAGTTTTGAGGTAAGTGATGCTGTTACTTCTTTCTCTGCAGTTGAATATTTTGCCATTCCTTGTAATTAAGTCCAGTTTGGTGGCTTTTATTATATGGCTCACATTATGAAAATTTAGCTTATATGACTCAAGTTTCAACTTTTTCTTCTTATGTACTTACAAAAGTCATGATTATTATTTTACAATTGTATATCTGAAAATAGGAACTCAGACTGTGCTGCTATGTAGTATTTTTATAAATCAGCTAATTTTAAAGGTAACAAATTTATACACAAGTCACATAAAATAATCCTTATCTTCCTCCCTGCCTCTGCAAGGTGAGGACTCTGAGCTACAACTAATATTATGGGGATGACTCAGCTAAAATAAGATTGCTCACACACCCGATTAGTCTATAAGAACAAACACAACTTCAGTGTTTCACTAATAATAACAGTGATGAGTAGTGATTGTCTCCTGGGCAGTAATATGAGGGTAGCAATTTAATGAATGCATCCAAGAGTGTTCAACACAAAAAGCCTCGTTTCATGGAGGAAATGAGCTAATTTTTTTCAGACAGTGGTGATCTCATAAGCATTTTAATACCAGCTGGTGTAAAGCAGCTACAAAGAAATACATCTCGTCTTAACAGCAGCTCCTCCTCGGTGACCTTTCTTTTACGTGCAGCAGTCACTTCTGTGCCTAACATTCATCACTTGATTCCTTTCCAAAATCCTAAGGTGCCTGCCTACCTACTTCTTCTGGCCTTGAACAAGACATAAAGAATCAGGTGGCATAATTTTAAGCTTTCCTATGGATTTGAGACAGCACTTATTAAGCTTGCTAATTAATTTATTAATGAACTAGTTCTCCCCAAAGATTTATTGAGGGATAAAGCAATCAGAAAGTCCTCAACAACCCTGCTAAGAGATAATTAATCACTGCTGGATAAAAAACAAATAGGAGTTAATCCCAGATCACAACCAGAGGGTCTATACAGCTCTAGTGTAGAACTGAAATGTGGGCAGGCTGCGATACACAGAATCTCCAATACAGCTGCAATGATGCTCCATTTTGCAACCCTTTAGTGAGACATCCCCCTTTTCTTGCAAAATTGAAGTCAGGCACAGGAGAGTTTAGCATTTAATGAGGTCTTCAGAGGTATTAGCATGCTCAGCAGGAATGGAAATGAGCTATTGAAAGGAGTAAAGGCAAGTACGAAAGCACAGACTTCTGTGCTTTTAACTCTGCTGTCACAGGCCAAAGGGACACCTGACCTAGAGTTGTGTCTCAGACCAGACCTCCTCCAGAGTTTTGGGTTCCTTTGTGACCTTAGAACAGATGTGTCTCTCCTTAGTTGCACAGCTGAGCAGGACTCTCCCTCTCAGTGGACAGTGCTGGCATCCTTAGGGGACGTAATGTCCAAAGAGTACTGTGAATCTTGCTTCAGAAATAAATAGGCTCTAAAAGCAGAATCCCCCCGCTCAGCACAGGTCAGATGTCTAAACCAGTAAGGAAAACACATCTGGGTACCCTAATACTGGGTAACGGGGGCTTGGGTGAATGCTCTGTGCTAAATGGGGTGCCCGATTCAATGTCACGGAGTTGGTGGTAACAAGGATATAGACAGACACTCTCTGCCTTTAGCAGCTACCCTAAATACTGTTGCTGTACACGGCATTCTGTGCTGGATTACCAGTTTAACAGCTAGCATAGGTGTAATGCTCCTCATATACACATCACCTCACCATGCAGCACCTTTTCTCACTGGAGATCTAGCCCAAAATACCCCATTAATTTAGCCTATGTCCATTGAGTCATATTTTCCATTTCTATATGATTTTATTGCTATATTCTTAAATTGCACGATAGTAAGTATATAGAAAAGATATTCCATCCCAACTGGTCTTTATTCAAGTCATCACAGCTTCCTCCTGTGAGAAGTCCTTGGAATATGGAAGGAAATGATTCACTCTTGCAAAGTTTAGAGCACACACCTAGAAGGATTTGGGTTGTCTCAGCTTTTATAAGGACATTCAGTCCTATGCAAAACAGCATAAAGTCGAGTGTTTTGATGCATCGTTTTTAACACAGATGACAGAAGGGCATTCTTGCAAATGGGGATATAATGATGCCAGGAAGCCACTTAACATATGTGCAGTGCATCAAAAAAAGGAAGAAAGAGAAATAGTGAGGAAAAGAAAAATAGATATGATTTGGATAGAATAAATGCAGAAATGTTTCTTGTGTCAAATAAAAAATAAATTCAGATTTCTGAAATATAATACTCCAAGAAAATAATGTTATTGCAGACCTCTGCGAAGGACTTCAGTGCAGAAAAGATGTAAAGAAATGGTACTGAAGTAAAAAGGTTAATTGCTAATGCTGTAATGTGATCAAATCTGCTCTGAAATTTCTTGAACATTTTAGTACTTAACAGTACACTGTTAAAGAGCTGTTTGGAGATTTAACCCTGTGACCCTCGATTAGTCATGGAGATGTAGACAAGACAAGTTGAGCAAACTCTTTCAACATTCACGTGTCCATTTACCCCAAAGGGAACATATACCAATAACACAGAAATTTATCACAGACAGAAAACCCAGAGCATACCACTTGAATTGCTAAATGACTGAAGATGTCAGAAGAGCTGTCTGTGCCTACCAGACCATCTGAGGCCATGATATCTGTGTATGCTTCACTGTATCAGGAATACTTACCTAACTGTGTGGTACCTCAAACCTTTATAATTTATGTCTAACCCCAGTGAAGTCTTTTCCAGCTTCCTGTTTTAAGGAGCTGCATAAACTTTGCCAGTGCTGATAAGAAACTTCTCAGCTTTTATAGTCTCTGCTGTAATGTTACTCTAATGTTATTTCTGTATGTCTTTGCCAGTGACATAGAAATGCACATTTAAATATAAGTTCTTGCCATATTCTGCTCAACCTATTGTGACGTTGATTTCACAGTTACGGGTTTACAAGCTTATCAAATAGAAAAAGGTTGGGGAGGGAGTTAGGAAAAAAAGAAGCCATTGTTAAAAAAATAAAAAAAGGTTAACATGCTAAGAAATACAGAAAACAGGTTGATGGCACATCCCAGTTGATATTTTCTCCAGTCAGGAACATGCTCACTAAATGCAAATGAGGTTTCTGCTGTGAAAAGATTTTTAATTACGAAACAAAAATCTATAACCAAATACTATACATCACTAACCTCAAAAGTAGTCTGTTTTCTTTTTGTGGAATAGCTTTAGAGCAATAGAGCACTAGCGGGTCACAAAACCACTAAGGTGGCACACGTATACATAATAAATATATTCCCTATCATATTTCCAGTGGAAGCTTTTAGTATTGAGATGTACTATAGCACACATTAAGTTTTTAATGTTGACTGCAGCAGATTGATCTAAGAGGTCTGGGAAACACATATTCCACTTCCAACAAGGTATAGATTTAACAAGAATTTAATGTTCCTTAGTAGATAGTTCTCCCAAAATTGGTCTCCTGTGCTTAGAATAATCTAACTCCCACTTATGCTTTTATTTGGACCATTAAATCATAGGGATTGCTTTTCCCTGGTATTAAGTTTAACAGCAACTGCTTATATGAGACATTTCAGAGGATAAATCCACTAACAAAAAATTACGGCTTATTTTATAGAAAATTACACAAATTACTTATTAATTATGAGTGTAGCATACAGAGCCTACATTTTTAATTATTTAAATAACCAGCAATCCTTAGCACTTACTGTGAAGCAAAAGAAAGAAACAGCACATATTTCCAGACTTCCGTGTTTCTCACAAATGCATTGGTTTAGATTTCTGAGTGTTTGTGTAAAACTGCTCAATTCCAATCTGACTAAGACCTTTTATCTATTTAGGATTTTGTTATGGGTCTCTCAATTTTACTCCGAGGGACTGTACAGGAGAAACTGAACTGGGCTTTCAATTTGTATGATATAAATAAGGATGGATATATAACTAAAGAGGTAAGGTCTACTTTTTACACTAATCACTGAAACTAAATGTTGCATTTGTTAAGTCCTACTTTCAAAGAAGAATGGCTTCATTCTCAAATTAGACATATTAACAAATAAACTTGTAAGATATGATTAAACCAGACATGCTAAAAAATAAAGGAATTTTCTCATTTTAAAGCTATATATAAACATTTAAAAGGAAAAATGATCACATAAATTCTAAAATGTCAGAATTTTCCAGGTACAGAAACATTTTCCTTCAATTTATGCCTATGTATTGGCACTAGAATAAAGTAGTTCAGTAGGATATTTGGAGTAAAAAGAATTAAGTGGGCCACAATTGTTACACATTTTATAAATCTACTTCTAAATTTATTTACTTGAAACAGAATTTATATGAAATGATTCCTACATGTTTTACTCTGCAAGGATTTAAACACATACTTAAATTACAGTGGGACCAACTGAGTGCCTTCATAAAAATATATGGTTTTCAAAATTGGGGTCTTTTTATAAATATGTAAATACTACACTTAAAATTTTACACTTGTAGAAATGTACACTTGTTGATTACAACACTTCCTACCAATACACTTTGTGATTATTATAAAAAGATCTATAGAATAATTTCTCAGCATATTAACAGATGATTTTTTTACAATTCTTATAGTTTTCACAAGCTGCTCTGTTAACAAAATTCAAAGCTTTTGATATGAAAAAGAGAAGTCTTTGCATATGTGTAGGTGTGTGCATGGGTTTTTCTATTTTTGCTAAGGAAAACTCAGTTGTAAGCAGCTGATGTGCTTTGACCATTCACTTGCTGTTACAGAACTTCTTTTCCTGTTTAGTTTTATTCACAACACCTCAGCAGATTCTGCCCACAATCCATGAACTTGCACATATTCTAAATCATCTAAAATCAAAACCATACCTCTGCATCCATTTAAAAAGTTTATTTATGAAAGCTGAACTAACAGGCTAGAATTTCTAGGAACATAGTCGTTCCTTCTTGAAGCTGTTCAGTCATAAAATAACAGGCACAATCTCGAAGTTTTATTCTAGAATGTAAATCCTAAGGAACATTTATGCATTCTGAGTCAAAGCTGTGTCTACAATACACCTTGCGTTACACAGACATATTTTTTTTAGGAAATGCTTGATATCATGAAAGCAATATATGATATGATGGGGAAATGCACCTATCCTGTTCTCAAGGAGGATGCACCTAGACAACATGTGGAAACATTTTTCCAGGTGGGTCAGGTAACATAGGGAGCCAAAAAGACTGCTCTCTTAGCAGGTATGGAAAGGTTTTCCCTGTTGTAACCGCTCTGATTATCCTACCAATTTTGCAATCCTTTTTCTTCTCTGTGGTTCCCTCCCAAGTTTGTCAGATCTACTCATTATCTTGCCTTTTCAACAATAATCTCCTTAAGCTTATTCTAGTATGTCACTTCATCTTTACAGCATTTTGGCCTAGTTGTTCCTAGGCTGACACATAACTGAAATGAATAATAAAAATAACTGGTTTACACAGGATTTCAGAGGGATAAACCTATGTTCTTATTCTTTCCGAACAGAAAATGGACAAAAACAAAGATGGAGTAGTTACCATAGACGAATTCATCGAGAGCTGCCAGAAAGTAAGTACCCAGTGATAAATACTGAACCTGCATTTGTTGGCTAGTGCTATCCTAGTGCTACACAGATTTCTGGAGTGACAATGATGGTAATCCTAATACCAGTCACAGTATTTTCCCAAGGTAGAGTATGTATGTACACCATTACACAAAACCACTAAAAAAGTAAATAAATCTGTGACCTTAATCTGTAGTAGAGATGTTACATACAAACTGTCATTCCTTATTAGACAACTTTCTGCATCCCTTTCTTTAGCAGTGTTTTGTTTGTATTTGACAGCAAAGAGATTCTTCACTTGCAGCTAAATATTTATTTCTATCTTCTGCCCATGCTGGGGAACACATTCCTGTTACAACTAGCATATAGTCACAGCCATAACAACAATATTGCTTGAAAATTTGTCATCTATAGATAGGTTTCTCAAACAGCAAGCTGTGACCTGCTGAAAGCCTTAAATGGAAGAGTGCAAGGAGCTTGCAAAGTATTGGATGGCAGGAGTTAACAGCAGGCAAGTTTTCTCAAGGCAAGGGAGTGAGAACTGACTGCGATTATCAATTGCAAGTGTTTACACTACCCAGGTGGCTGTTAATTTCCTCCAATGGATGAAAGCAGCTCATTGCCTCTTGAGCCAGGAATGAGAATAAACTTCTGCAGCAGGAAAGTTTTCATTCCTCTGCCCTTCAGAAACCAGCTTGCTCTCAGACCAGGAGACTGTGAGGAAAGATAAGTTGTATTTTCAGAAATGTATGGAATGGTTGTTAATATTTCAGTTAAAAAAATGTAAGAAAAAGTATACATGGCATAGTACAAAATAATGATGGCAAGCCTTGGGCATGGTAAGAGTTTGTTATGTAAAGTGTCACATTAGACTTTAGTGATAAGATCGGCTTGATTACATTATGCAAAATGATATGGCAAATAAAAGCAACACTATTTGTTACAGTGAGAAATATATGGATTCATTGTAGTGTTGTGCTGATACCTCAGCCTTGTCCAGGCTTGCTGATTAATACAAAGCCAACACAGACCAGCATTACAGACTGTATGTATTGCTTCTTATCTCTTAACCCAAGAAGAAAGCTGTAGACAAAAGAGGACAAGACTAGCAAGGTAAATGCAATTAGTGAGTGACAGATTTATAACCATTTGGAACAGGGAAAGCTGAACAGATAGCTAAGATGATTTAGAATTGGTAAAGTTTATGTGCATTTACATTCTTTGGGATTGCTCTCATGAGCACAGCTATCTAGTAAGTGATTCTCTGATTGATTTTAATCTACTGGTTTTGGGGGGTGAAAGAAAGGCAGCTCTTCTGACTGTGGTTGGTTTGTATATCCCTAGCAACGGGTGTTGGGTAAGGTCTTATCTGTGGGCAGTGCTCTACTGCATTGACCACGGCTCTAGCTTGTCAGTCTTGTTCAAATGAAAGGCGTTTGTTCTGCTAAAGCTGAGAGATCATCAGAAACAGAGGTGAGGTTTATTTCCTGGCTGAGGTCTGCAGAGTTCTGGAAATTAAATGAAAGATTAATCTGAATATGACAGCCATCGTGGTGATGGGCTGAGTGATTCATTTACAAAGCAAACTAGTACCTTCAGTAAGGAATTGCCTGCTCTCCTTTTCCAGTGTGACTCACAGTTTCTCAGTTCTGTTAGAAAATTTATTTCTCTTTTCTGATTATGCAGAATACAAGTGAGAAAGGTGTTCTCTGAATGGCTACATGACAGACACACCATACGCTTCTTGACACTTACCTCACCTTCACTTGCTTTTAACTATTTTTTTTTGGTATTTTTGATATTTTGTATCAAAGTGTCTTGCTGCCTCATTTTTTGTCTCTCTGCCTACTAAGACATGTTATTCTGAGATATCTGAGCTGCAAAGTGTGTAATTCATGTTTATATCAAGATTTGGTATTGGAAATTAGATTTGGGGTTAGGATTCAATCCAAGTCCTTCAAGAAAATTGATTCAGTCATTAACGTGGCTTTAGCCTTTTCAGGATTACATTTTTCCCAAAGGACAGTAGTAGCTGCTTCCTTTTAACACACAGCTGTAGGAAAATCTTTTTTTTTTAATATCCTAATGGGTACAAGAATGATCTAAAAAGATTAAGGTTCAGGTTCCTTTCTTTCCTCAGCATGCAGTGAGTCACATCACTCCAGGAGCAGAGTCTCATCTTTCATGACCATTTAACAATGCCAAAATCAAAATTAAATAATCCTGTGATCCTTCCTGTAGTAAATCTGCCTGTGTTTTAGACCTGCCATGCAATATTTTTGTTTTCCATATGTTCCTGTGTTATGGAGAAAGTGTTTATCATTATTGCCTTTCATTCAGTATCTCTTTCTCAAGCTGTAAAGTACCAATTTATTCATTTTTTACCCCTAGGAAAACCAGTCCACACCTTTAATCACCCTTGGTCTTCTCGCTAGACCACAGCCAGTTCTATTGTCTTTGGTTACCAGGATCAGAACATTCAGCACACCAGTTGCTCCCTGGGCTTTAACAGCTATGGTAGCTTGGTAGCTATGGTACCTCTACAAACCCTCCTTTGGCACTTACAGATGTTAGAGCACATCTGCCCAAACTCTTCCCTGCCAGTTTGTATAGCCAATGGCTGTGCCTCAGACCTTGGAATGGAATGCCCATTGATGAACATAGCAGCCAACATCTGGTGCAGCTGAAAGGATGTGTTTGCCAGCCCCTCAGTTCCAGCTCAAGCTGTGAGATTAGAGTCAAAACAGTGCCAAGAGACAATCACTTCAAAAAAACCCTCAACCAACTCGAAAGCTCAGATCCCCTCTGGTCTGTATCTTAAAACAGACTAGAAGCCTTTTCTGACAGGGAAAGGCCGCACAAGCCTTTTCTTGGAACAATCTCTCAGACAAGAGTTGCCAGCGTCCAAGCACTGCATCCCTCTGTTTTGAGCTGGAACACAAATTAATGGGTCTTAGAAGTACATCCCTTTTTCTGGTTTTCAGTCATAACTAAGAAAAGCATGGCATGCTTACTTTAAGAGCAAGGAGGAACACAGCACAACATATTTGAATACAGAGGCTCTACCTAAGTTCCTGGGATAGCTTCCTGAGGTTGCCTCTGGTGCGCTCTTAAACACCCTGTGCTGGGTACTGGTTTAGCACAACTATCAGTGCAGTAGCTCTGTACAGCCTGAGGTGTACAGCAAGTTCAGGACTGTTAATGCACAGTCCCAGTGCAAAGAATGGCCTGTCCACTCACAAAGTGTGAAACGGGTATGTAGGGAATTACAGAGCATTCAGGCTTTGAGCATGGTCTGCTCTGGTCAGTGTAAGGACCTCATTGCCCACGATTAAGTGAGGACAGCGAAGGTGCTTTCCCTCATCCTCCCTGTGTCTTGGGACAGGGAATGTTTATGACCTGATTCCCTGTCCTCCCTACCCCATGTGCTTGAATGTCAGTCTCCCACCCAGACTGCAGGAGTCTCCTGTTCTCACAAGAGAAATGGACTATCCTCTCCTCGGCGTGTTGGATTGAGTCCCAGAGGGTGGCTGCTGTCTGACCTGTTTGTATAAGTAACCAAATAGCCAAGAGGTCCTGGGAAACAGAAGTGTGGCTGACTCAAGGGCTGGGCACTGCTCGGTTTCTCATCTGCCTCCTTTCACTGCTTGGTGCGGGAGTAAAATGGTCTGACTCGGGCACTGCTTCACATGTACAGCAGCACCAGGAAGAATAGGGGCAGAGGACTAAGGCGTGCATGGGCGAATGACTTAAAGCTCCTTCTGATAATGATAAAAAGGCTTATGGGATAGATATTTTCTGCAGGATTAAGACATGCATACACAATGCTGATGGCTCTGGGCTAGCCTGAAAACAAAGCAGCAGTCTCAAATTTCAGTAGCAAAACACTCAAAATTGGCTGAAACTAGGTCAGATCTGGGAAAGCTCATTCATCCATGGTTTGTGCTTGATATGGACTATGCTTCATATGCGCTAACACCTCCTAATGCCTTGACTTAGGAATCATTGCACAAATGTAGTATGAAGAACTGTTTAGAAAAATGTACTGAAAAAAAGAGGCAAGCAAGAAAGATACGCTTGCCAGACAATTCCAATGCAAGCATTTGCTTTTTTTGCCTTTTTATTTTTTTTAAGATGTCACCATGTTCCAAATATTATGACAAAGCTGTATTTTCTTGTGAAGACTTTTCCCATTTGACTGACTAAAAGAGTGGCATTTGGAAGTCTTCTGTATAGAAGCAGCAAACCTCAGAAGTATGGAGCTGATTTTAGAAAACTAGTAGTTTCATTAGTGATGACACATATAGTAGAAAATTGATAGGAAGTGTCAGAACACTGTTTCTAGATTAAGATCATGTTTGCTTTGCCCATTTGCTAACCTTAGTTGCCAATGTATATAGAAAAACATTTGTAATTAATTAGATGACAAATTATTCCAGTTAAACCGAACTTTAACCTTACATCAGTCAGTGATCTTCAACGGTACGTTGATGTTTCAAAACAATGCAGTGGGGAAAACATAGTTTACTTTAATTCACAGTAACTTAACATAGTCAATTTCCTATACAAACTGTTTAAGAATTTACCTACATAACATTTTTTTGAAATTAAGTATTGCTTTGGTAAGTTAGTTTTTAGCAGCACAAAATAGCACACAGATCACTTCTTATCGCAGCATCACTTGAGATGACATATGGAATCAAAGCTGAAAACCTTGCTGTACACGTTTCACATCATAAATTAAGAAAATTACTCAGACTTGTCATTTTCTATGAAGCAAACCACCCGCTAGACTGAACAGTGAATAGTTTAACTGGAAATTGATGCTGATTGTGTCTTATTGGAACATTAATGCTCAGAAGGCCTACATACGTATCAGTACTGGAGAATACTAGGAGGTAACATTTCTAAGAAGTGGGGGAGTTTAGGCACCTCCTTCATTAAACTTCCTAAAATATTCTATCAAATTTAGTCTTTTTATTCACTAGAGTTAAAGGTGGCTAGATTGTCTGTCAAGAAAGTACTAAATGGTGTGCATTCAGGTTCCAAAGTGGGTCATTACACTGGAGATCAGCAAATGCTAAATGAGCACGTAATATACTCTTGTATTGTGTATATATTGTCTTGTGCAACCAACTGTTGATCCAGAAGCATCACCAAGTATGGGCTACTACAAGTAAACTCGTTCTTCTATACACTATAAGGTAAATATTACAAAAAATATTTGTTTTTTCCTGACTGCTGTGCTGAGAGATTTTTATTGGTTGAATACGGAGTGATGAACCAGTAAGCATTACTCACAACTTGGAAGCCAAAGGTTTAGTTATCTACCTAATACAAGGCAATCAGACAGCAGAAGAGGCCTTGGAAAGCAGTCAACAACTTTCAGTGTGAACACAGAAAATCTGAGCTGAAGGGTCAGTGTTGCGGTGATATTTGCAGAACTGGCTGACTCTTGGGTTTGTGCAAAGGTGCACACTCTCATCTATTTTATTTTAGTCATCCCTAGCTATGCAACCGGATGTCTTAGAACTGCAAAAAGTCTCCTGCATATGATACACAGGATGAGCAATTTTATGTACGATGGGCACACAGATACAACTATTCCTTGAGTATTTGTCTCTATGTAATTTGTTATACTGCATATAAACTTATAACCTCCAAAATGTTTTTAACATGCTGGTTGATTCTTGAAAGAATATTTTTGATTTAATTAACGTATACAAAACCCTATTAAAGTGTAGATCCATTAACAGACATTTTCTGTTAACAATTTCTGCAAACAAGCTGAAAAATAATGTCATTAACTAAACCACAGTTAGTTCTACCCAATTTCACTATAGATATTGGCCAGCTATGTTTGTAATGGTGTATGATTTTTGGTTTTCTGTTGTCTTTTTTACAGGATGAGAATATAATGCGATCCATGCAGCTCTTTGAAAATGTGATTTAATGAAGACACTAGGTCTACAACTAATGGACAAATATGCGCTATTCTGCAACATTATCCAAAAGATGGTTTTCCCACTTTATCATAAATAAAATTCCTCAGCTTTATACACTGAGACATGTATTATGCAAATATTTTTTTTATTATTATAAACTTTTCCCAACAGAAAGCTTTTGAAATTATACAATTTAGCACTTCAACAGTGGCTACTTAGTTAACAAGATTGTTTTGAAAGGTCAGGTTTTTATTCCAAACCCGAACATAATAATAACTGACATTATGCAGCTTTATTATCGTTCCAACCCCTAGACAAAATAGATACTATCACAAGGAGATGAAATAAATACTCTTAGTTTTGCTACTCATTTCTACTGGATTAAACTCCAGGTGTTTGAGTGTATTTCTTAAATCATAGCTTCTAATTCATATAGAGGCATTACCATGTATTTTCTGTTCATGTTTGTATAGTGTAGTCCTCGTTTTTTGAATAATACTTTGAGTTAAAGTGCTATGATCAATGTGCAATGCACATCTTGCTGCAATTGCCTTCCACCTTTGACTTGCTTTTCTCTTCAAGAAAAAACCCCAAACCTCACAAAATAGATAACTTGAGAGGAAGAACTGTTATAGAACAGAAATGAAATTGCTTATAGGTAGATTTGCTCCCTAAAAAAATACGAGTAATCTTCTATCAATCACCCTTGTCTAGTAACTCTGCATTTAATTTATCTTGAGTCCTACATACCGTATTTCTAATTCTTCTTGGATGTGTCACCAAGTTCTTTGCTTAAAATTAAGGATCTTCTGAATTCTAACTTCTCATGAGGAAACCTCAACTGGATTCTAACTGTTTTCATAAGTACGTGTCTTTCTGCCTTTAATGAGGAAAAAGGCATGAACTTCTGAAACTTCCATCCCACTTCAGTGCTTAGAGTGAGCATAAGTATGTAGTAACATCTACTAATAATGACAGCTAGACAGGCTAGCATCTGTGCCAGCTGTTTGTACTATCTTTAATGATGAATCAGAATCAGGAAAAAATTGGAAACTTCAGCTGTACAACATCTGTGTGTGATTAATGCATTACTTTTTTTTTTAGTATTTCTTCATTAAGATTGGAGCTACCTTAATTCTGGAACTAGAAATATTTTTCTAAAACAAGTATGTATAATACTGCCCCCTCATCCATGTAATTTTTAAGATATATTGTCCACAGAGTTTAGGCCAATACTTCAAAATAGGTGAAATGCTACCAGAGAGAGGCCAATTTCCATTGTGACACTGCTGCAGAAAATGTGAGAGGGGATTAATGAAGTAGAAAGAATGTTGCAAGCATACATTTGCAAAAATAAATCAGGTATCTATTCTGGTGTAGAGATGGGATGTTAGAGGCATGTTGAAGGCTGCTCTGCTATCACCAGTGTAGGGTAAGAGTAGTACAATACATGTACACCTGAAATGTGCTGTAGCCTGTTTGTGTAAACTACATGTGCACATTTTGTAAAAAAAAAAAAAAATAATAAAGTAAACATGAAGAAAAATATGCAGCATGATCAATTTTTTGAGCTGTTAAACAAATACTTGTATTTCTTCAAATTAAACATTTTTCCAACGATTTTTTTTAAAAAGCTTAAATACTTAGATCTTGACTGAGCACAGTTCTGATCCCAGCAGAGATCTTTGCACACTCCTCAAGTAAATTAAGTTTAGCCATGCAGTGTGAATTTTCAAAAAATTCTGAAATTGCTTTCACATGACAGACTTTTTTAATGCTCTCTGCAACAGTACCTTTTGAGGACAAAAAAAACTCCCTTCCAACAACATTAAAATCTGGAATTCCATTTCCTCAGGGGAAAACGTTCTATGGCAAATTTTGTTACTTCAGTCAGGTCTCTCCCCCAGTGCAACTCAAATACCCACAACATGAGCCCTGAACAGTATTTATTACCAGACCTGTTAGCAATTATTTTGCAATCAAGTTCAGACCCGTTCATAGACAAAGGCTGCACCCTACAAGACCTGGCAGCCAGGTAAGCTGGCTTCTGTAATCTTTTTACTGTCCCTAACTCACATTTTTTTCATAGCTTCTGTGTTCAGAAGTTTGTCTGGAGCTGAATTCACAAGCTAGTCCCACGCATATCTGTGGCCCTGCAGAACTCAATGCAAAGGCAGCACAGTGCAAATGCTCCAAAGCTGCCTCCTCCCTCTAGCTCACAGGCAGCGGGCCCAAAGCTAACTGGAACTAATCAGTTGTGCAAAACCGAGGCTGCGGCTCTATGATGCCCGATGCCTCTGCGCTGTTTTCTCCAGAGCCTCTCCAGCTTCTCAAAACCACGTGCTGAGAATGCACCGAGTTCAGTTTTGCACCACACGCTATGTTTGTGCATTCCGCCTCATACTTTTAAAAGCTGACTCTCAAGAAGTCTAGGTGAGTTCTCATCCTTCTCGTCTAACCCAGCAAGTCCTGATGAACTCAAGCTACATCCATCCGTGCCTGTGGCACAAACTGTTATGTGACTCAAAAACGGGTATACATGTGTAATTTAACACCATTCGTTACTATTCAAGTAATTACAGCCAGACTATTTTGCCTCACACAAACATACAAAACATATTAAGCACTGCAGATATATTACAGGAAATTGTAATTTACAACAAAATAAGAATCAATATTTACTCTGCTTTTGAAATAACAGTCAGATAGTCAACATCATTGTAAACACAATGCATACACAAAGCCAATACAGAGAGAATTATTTTAAATAGCCTTCCATAACTACATATTCACAAACTGATAGGACTTTTCCCACTCTCCATCATGCTGAAGGATTGTGATTACTTTAGGAGACTATATCTCTCCCAGTGATGTTCACAGGCAGTTTCTTCCCAAACTTCGCTTTACAGTACAAATCACTAGAGTTTTCTTGTTCAAGAGGAGACCGAACAATAGGTTGGAATTTTAGATTTGATGATAGCCACAGTTGCCTGTTGATGAAAATACAATGAATTTAAACAAAATAAGGAGCAATAGCACTACAGTTAAGAGTTTTCATATAGTCTCTATAAATTCTATAATTCTCAACTTTTACTTACATACTTATGTTATACCATTATCAAAAACAGTAGAAAGCTACAAAATTAATATATGCAGAGAAATTTAAAGTCAAAAGGGCTGAAACTAATGAACTGAAAAAATGGAGCATAGTGATAACTCATGCTGGAGAGTAAACATCCAAGAGAAGAGATAGTAAACTCATACCAAAAACCGGGCATAAATACAGACATGAAATTATAAGCATTTTTAAACAGAAGAGTGATATTCTGGAAGGGACTTCAAATAGAAGTAAGAATCATATACATTTTAACTCATTTAGAATAGAAATTTGATAAATTCATTCATTCAAACAAACTTAGGAGTTTGTTTCCAGTTTTCTGCTTTATCTTATTACAGTATTCTTAAAAGATACACAGAAAGACCTACTCACAAAACCAGTAAGACTACAAGAAATCATGGGACAGACAGAAGAATTAGGGGTTAATGATTCCCTGGATTAGTTACATTATCTAGACCGAACTTTTCAGAACATCAAGATGCGGCATAATTTTCTTGTCTCACTACGTGTAAATAAAAACCTCTCGTGCTTCTTTATTTGTTGTGATGTTTTTCAAGTCTGTAATATGAACACTGCTACTGTCCTTAAATGAATATAAGCACATAAAAAAAACTAAGTGGTGTCTACTGATTATTTGGGTGCCTACTGATTGAGGCACACAAGCTCAGAACTGGCAGACCTCTATTTATGGTGCCTAATTTTAGGTTATTCCTGTTCTTTACCAATGAGCATTTAATATAATACATGCAAGTGTTCATAGGATGAAGAAAGCAAGTATTGTCTCCTCTAGATGAATATCACCAAAGCCAATACTCTCTCACTTTTTCTTCTCTTTTCTGCACAATGTACAGCACAACAAAAAATGGCAACAGGATGTTCAGCAGCAGAATACTCTGCCATCTATTACTTAAAGCATTTTTTTGATTTATAGCAATTGTAGATCTGGCCTCTGGGTTAACCAGGGTGGGCTGAAATGTGAGTATCTGATTTCCTCAGTAAGCGACCTAAACAATAAGCTATTAGTGAGAATGAGCAGGCATCATCAATAGCACCAAAAAGTACCTTTTAGCAAGAGCAAATCCTGTTCAGAAAAGTACTTTGGCTCAGAAAAAGGACCACAAAGCCTGCATAGAGGCAAGACAACTATTCAGCCTGAGTCAGGTGTCAATAATCCAGAAGGGGCCAGCAGCTATTTACTCGTTGAGATTTGGTGAACTCCTGCCTTCATTGGCCCCTAACCTGCCCTATGGTCTGTACAAGAGGCTCACATGATTTACTCAGCATAAGCATCTACTTTAAGTGCTGCAATGCCTAACTTGGAGTAAGGACTTATATTAGGCATCATGGCTATTACCCCACGCAACTAACTGGTCACACCAGTTTAGCCCCTGGAAGAAAATTTAGACTTTCCTGAGAAATGAAGAATTTTCAAGAAAGTGCAGCAAGCATCCAATTTAACCACTAACTCTGCATAAGCTTCCCTCCAAGTACAATAAAATATTCCAAACATGGTATAGGGATGCACACTTGCTCCCAAAAAGAGTTGTCCTGAATAGGGCTGAGTACCATGCAGCTTCTTATGTAGACATGGAATCATTGGAATATTTTACTGAGACATACTCCTTTACTTCCTGCTCAGAGATTAAAACAATAGAGAATACAAATGAAAAGTGGAAGATAAAAAAAAAAAAAAAAAAAAAGGAAGATGAAACCTAACTGGCAGACTATGGATTACCCAGGGTAGATTAAATGTCATTTCTATTACTACTCAATACATCAAACAGAGTAAAACAGCACAACTCTGCTGCTTGCCACAGTACGAAATCGTGTGTTTCATGCAATATGAATGAATGGGGTGGTTCATCTGAAAGCCAGAGATGGAAGATGCTTTGGCAGAGCTATGCTCAAATCAGAAGGATATTGACGAGTTGGAGTGAGTCCATAGCAGGGCCACGAAGATGCTCAGAGGGCTGGAGCCCCTCTGCTATGGGGACAGGCTGAGAGAGGTGGGCTTGTTCAGCCTGGAGAAGAGAAGGCTCCGGGGAGACCTTATTGCACCTTCCAGTACCTGAAGGGGCTACAAGGAAGCTGGGGGGGACTTTTTACAAGGGCCTGTAGTGACAGGACAAGGGGGAACAGGTTTAAATTGAAAGTGGGGAGGTTTAGATTAGATATCAGGAAGAAGTTCTTCCCGGAGAGGGTGGTGAAGCACTGGAACAAGTTGCCCAGAGAAGCTGTGGATGCCCCATCCCTGGAAGTGTTCAAGGCCAGGCTGGATGAGGCTTTGAGCAACCTGGTCTAGTGGAAGGTGTCCCTGCCCATGGCAGGGGGGTTGGAACTAGATGATCTTTAAGGTTCCTTCCAACCCAAACCATTCTATGATTCTATGAAATGTGCAGGTTATGAGTAAATATTTGATCAACTCACGCTTCCACCGTATTGCTCCAACTTTTGTAATGCAACAGTAACTTGTTCTCTAAGTTTCTTGCCCATTAATCTCCTTGAAAGCTATTGGAAAAGTAAAATAAAATGGTTTGTTACAACACATAATTCAATATATGCAAAGAGGTCAATATAATTCTATTTTATTACTTTATCTTCTCTTTAGAAAATTAAAGCTGATAAGGAACATCACTTTAAAGCTTGTAACTTGATGTCAAAGCATGGAACTCATTCAAGGCAAAAGGAATAAAATGGTAACTGATGAGAAACTTAAATTCAAAGAAAGATCATATGTTAGCCAAAACTAATTTTTTTTCTTTTAGCAAACAAATATTAAAGTTCTCAACCTTTTAAAAAAAAAGTCAGTCTTAAAGTGCTGTCCACATGAAAAGTTAACACATTTTTTCACATACACTGAAAGGGATTTATTATACTGGAAATACTTCTAAAAAGGTACTACAATTTCTCTCTTCTGCACTGGATGTCTAAAAGGTCCTTTTATTTTGCTCTAAAAGTGCACTTTGGGAGCAGGCTAAATGAAACCATGAAAAGCCTGTCTGACAGAGGAAGCATGTCTACAGAAGGACTAGGTATAAAAATAATTTCCATAACCCCACTCTAAGTTTATTTAATGAAAACCTCTTTGTGCAGAATTCCCATCTGAAAGAAGTGGGAATATTTGCTTATGTCACTGTACTGAAACATTCACAGATTTTTTTTTAAATATTCACACAACATGCTAAACTCATTTTGCAATACACATACACTTCCCATCAAAACATAGCAACAATTTCACCTCAGGCTTGCAGCTGGATCTTTTTCAAATAGTAGAGACAACATTTTCTTTCTTCTCCAATGTATGTTAACAACAGTTTTTGGACCTTGTAGAACTTCATAAGTCACCGTATTATTAAAGAATGATGAACTTGGAGGAATAAGCAAAGTAATATTTTTCATGGAACTGCTGAGGCCTCCACAGTATCTGTGCAGATACTGTAGTAAAAATCTCAACAGAGGTACCATAAAAATACAGATGACATTTTACTACAGCATTAAAAACTTACATTTGTGAGTAGATGCTTAAGATGATCATTAAGAGAAGGGCCAACAACAGCACTCAGTTGAACTAAAGCATCCAATCCCCTTCTGAATACTTCATCATCCGAATGGGCCTTCAGTGGGGAGAAGAAGAAAATCCTGTCAGAAATGTTCAGACAAATGCATAAGTTCCTCAAAACTGCAACCTGTACATTATGATTGTACATAGCGTTTTTAAAAATCAAAACAACTGTGAAACTGTTAGTTATTACGATGTTACAAGTTTAGAAATACAACCGACTGAATATTAGTATCTAGAAGTAATGTTTGTCAGAGAACTCTTGCATTTCTTCCGAGATAAGGATGCTAATGATTTATTATTGATGAAATAAAAAATTCGGCAGGCAAAACAGTTTATTACACCAACGATTTCAGTGCTTTACAGCATATTTGAAAGAGCCCTTCCAATGCAGACATGTTGAAATTGGGAGACAACATTTTGGCTACCAATGTGCTGAATTCAGGGTAATTTCTATGTAATTCATGACAATTGTCTTTGTTGGAGAAACACAGGAACCAATGACTTTCTGGCTCAATTAATTTAGTCCCCTGCCAACTACAGCTTTGTCACCTGCCAGCAATTATCAGGCTCTTATCTACTTCTAGGGTGCTTTGTCATCTTTATTACTCCCATGGGAAAGTTCTTCTATAACCGAGTTCTCCAATGGTTTAGTTATCTCACTCTTCCTTCAGCAAAGAAATTGATTCATTGCAATTAATTTTGTTCTTGCACTAATACTGACCTTTACTTGAACAGTTATTCTTTCACGCTGACATTTGGGCCCTGAACTTTTTTTTTTTTTTTTAATTAGAATCATTGACTGCTTGTGTAGGAGAAGGTTTAACAAGGCTTTATACCAAAACAGTGCCACAATGAAAATTATCAGATGAATAACAGTATTTAGTAGAACAGACAGGAATATTTTTGCTAATTTTGTTTTCCAATCTAAACCAAAAATGCTGATAACACACAATTCTGATCTTCTATTACACCTTTGATCTGAGATCACAAAGAATTTTCAAACTTGCAGCCATCTCTATAAAAACAGAACTGAAACACAGCTAGATTAAAGGACAGCAAGTAGCTGAAACACAGAAGGGCTCTGAAAGATATGAAAAAGATCCAAAGGAGATTACCTTCCAGGCCAATACTTTTACCTCACTTTATTTTCTGAAGGAATAGAAAAGTTAAAAACATTTTAAAAATGAAGAATATGACCTCAAATGTTCTAACTGCATTCTTCCCCTTTCCTCACTGGCATATTCTGTTTTATCTTTGTAGCCTGTTTTGAATTTTTAAATGTAACAGACAAGTATTTATTCCAAAATCTCCATTTTACTTCACCTTATTTTGCGGGTATTTTTTGCATGTTATTATGTGGATATATAAAACCACCACCAATACGTATTTCTGCTTATATTCAGATTGGTAATAGAACATTTCCACAGACTTTGCCCATAGGTACTGTCATACAGCAGTACAAGGAGTTGCCCACCTGAATTTACAGTTAAAGACATATTTAGCTAATAAAACCCAAACTGGGTTAACATGAAAAAAAGAAACTATTCCCACCAACCCAAACCCCAAACGAATAGCCTAAGCAATAGATTTATCACATTAATATTTTCCATGTAGTCCTCACCAGCACAAGGAAAAAAAGAAAAATCAAACACATTAAAACTCTGCATGAAGACTAAGACATACCAATGCAGCCTTTAACACTGGAATTAGACGAGGCAACAAGGGAATTGCTTTTTCAGCAGCACCTTCAACCATAAGCAATTCTTTAAAACCCTCCTTTGAAACAAATGTATAGGGATGTTTTGTCTCTCGTAGACCCTGTTGCAAATGTAAAGTAATTGCTTAATAGTGAACATTCTTTTAAACAAAAACACATTTTAAAAGTTCCACACGGCAGCGAGAGAATGTTTAGGTTTTGTTATATCAGTTCAAAACATAAAATGCACTAACTCCACCATGTGGAGCAATCGAGTACAACCCTGCTCATAGAATATCCTTATTCCTTTTTTCTTTCAGAACACTGAACATTAAAACTTACATTATGAATACTTCCAATTCAATCAATATTTGTACTTCATTATCTTTAATCTAACTACCCAAGGTAATTTTTCAGCAGGAAGAATAGGCTACATTCGTAAATGGTTTTCGTACCCTAAATGAATAATAATAAAAAAAAGTGAATTAAGGAAAGACACCCACCACCACACACACCCCTCTGAAACAACAAAAAATTTAGATGGTACGAACATGCACTTCTAGCAAAGAGCTGGCAGAACTCGAAGATTTAAAGCCCTATGGCTGAAGTCTTTCTTCTTTCCACAATAGGAGCTCTAAGTTACTTTAGGAATTGTCAACTTTGTTTAACCTTAAAACAAACAAACCAACCAAACAAAAGCCACCTCTAGAGTATGCACTTTATTCCATCTACCACACTGGATCCAACATTTACTTTGACTCCTGAAACATTGCATGTGATGATGCTGAGAAAACAGAAGCCTGAACATGTATAGCATTTCTCTTTCATTATTTTACAGGATGCTACTGCATCAGCTCACTCTATTGAGGAGAGCACTCTTTCTTCAGTAGGTAGGCTTTATATACAAAAAGAATTTTTAAAAAATTGTTTACAAAAGAACCTGCAATGCCACAAATGTATGAAGTATTTCATTCAACAGTTGGGACTCTGAGATGCAGGCTCGTGTTTGGCCAGTACAAGTAACTAGCTCTCCCAGAATGCTCTAGGTAAAGAACTACAACTGGCAATGTTCTTGACCATCTTCACTCATACAAGATCCCCACAAATGTTTTTTTCATATTTCCCTAGCAGGTGAGTATAAGTTAGCTAGTGTAGCTCGTTATGAAATGACATTTACAGTTCAGAAATCCTTTATACTTAACTTCGCAGGAAAATCGAGTTTACCTCTGCCAGTGTTACAAGAAGAGGATCAAAGGGAACAGTCTCAGGAAGGCATTCCCATTGCAGTCTGTGCTTTACGGAGCCATGCACTAACCTATATAAAGAATAAAGTTTTAACAACTCAACATATAATAATACATAATTTATCACTAACACTATTCATTTAAATAAATCACCAGTTGGTTTGCAATGTTACTATGAAGTTATATACACAATTTTAATGCATACAGTTCCCCTTAGTGAAATGTATGATTTTATTATCTTTGTTAGTAAGGAGAAGTAAACAGCATTACTTGAAGAAAACAACTTCTTTCATAAAAGAAGTTCAGCCAACCAATCTCCAAATACCTAGCCATTTTAAAATGCAGCTTCAGTATTAACACAGCATAAAAAAGTAACCAGAAGACGACAATTTCAGACACGGAAACTTGCTTTCCGCTTTAAAAAGAGTTAAGTATTAGAAATCTTCTCAGAAATTAATGGAATCAAACGGCCCAACTAAAAGATCAAACATGAATAGATGTGTTTCAATCTGTAAAGTTCTACTTAGCCATAATATATTTAGTAAAACAACCCAAACAAAACTGACACACCTGCAGGGAATGCCACCTTTAGCGTATATAGCAGCAAATGCAGAAGGTGGTCGAGAATGAGCACCAAACTGTGAGGACACCAAAAAAAAAAAAAAAGACAAAAGCATTATTTATTGATAACAGTAATGTCTGACAACCATTATAAATACGTTAAAACTGCAGTTTACAAAGAAAGTTAGTCATATGATTCTAAAACTAATCAGAAAAAGCACTGCAGCTATGGAGTGCAAAACATGTATTTTGTACATTTATCAGAAAACTGCTTTTCAGAATTGTCTGGCTGGGAAGTTGTGAAAATGAATAAATAATGTAGAATCAGTGCTCTCTTGATGGAATACCTAATTTTTCATTTTGTCTTCCAAAACTTAACACTGAAGCCTTATGGGATCTCTCCTTAACAGATTAAGGACCTCTCACTTTCCTGATGCTCTTATTGTTGTTATACTGGTAATATGTAGAAGGCAGATTTACAGCAAATTTTGGTGTAAGGTGGTATGAGGGCACTGGAAATCAGTGGGTAGGTTCACAACGGATGAGAATCTAGAAAGGACTCACTGGAGAATGAAAGCAGGAGCTTTATGGGAAGAAACCTGGACAAAGTTAATGAGTTAAAATGAGGAGGTAATTGGTGACA